AAAAGTACTAGTACAAAAAGTAAATGTTTCACTTTATTTGACTTGTTTGTCTTTAGGAGTTTTCCAAATCGCCCTCGGAAAGCGGTCGGCTTAGCGAGATTTGGCGATGGAATGCCGATATTGCACAAGTTGGTTTCAGCTAGCTATGCTGCTGTTGGCTAGCAGTTGTCCAGTTGGCTAGTAGTTGTTTGCGAGCCATGCTAGCAGTTGTTTGTAAGCTAGTGCTCAGTTTAAACCCAGATCAGTTTAAACCAGATCAGTTTAAACACTCTCAACTGACTCATTTTCAGTACAGCTCAATTTGGATCAATATTTTCTCGGGTACAATCTGGTGGCTCATGTTTTTCGGGGTGAATCAATTGGCCATGCAACGATACGTCAGCCTTCCATCCGTTCAACACGCTCGCGTAGGGTCAAATGAAATCAATCAATTGCGTAATTTATTTCTCTTTAGGGAATCATCTTCTGCACCCTGCTCCCCTTTGTCATTCTCGTCTCGATTGTTTCCTTTGTCGGGTTGTTGGTGTTGGCCTATTTCCACAATTGTAATCCATTGGAGACGGGACAAATTCTAGAGACCGATCACATCACCATTCTCTTTGCCAGAGACGTTCTACGTAAGTTTGACTAACTCATGACAATAATCAGTCAGTGACATCCAAATAGATGTCAGTGACAAACAGTCAGTGACATCCAGATAGATGAGCGGTCACTAGTGGGAGTCAAAACCTTGATCTTTAGAGCTCAAAGTTACCCTTTACCGATTGAGCCATCATCCGGACTGATAGCTCAATCTTGTAATAGAAGGATTAACATCCGGGAATCGAAAGCTGTCTAATGATTCGATTTCTCGTTGAAATTGTTGGGGCTATCTTTGAGGAAATGATCGAGCTCTTGTTCAGCCACGGGGAGTGGATCTCTGAAAATTGCATCATATGATCATTGTATCAAGTTAATTTAGAACTGTGACTTCCAGATAGGTGATTGGTCACTTGAGGGAGTCGAACCCTCGACTCTTAGACGTCTGAGCAAACCCTTTTCGATTGAGCCATCTGAGACTGATACCTCTAAATTGCTAGAGAATAGCTATTAAAGGATGAATCAACCCTGTGACTTCCAGATAGATGATTAATCACTTGAGGGAGTCGAACCCTCCACTCTTAGACGTCTGAGCAAACACTTTTCGATTGAGCCATCTGAGAATGATATCTCTCTAAATTGCAATAGAATAGATACTTAAAGATGAATCAACCCTGTGACTTCCAGATAATGTGATTGACCATGGATATTCAATTAGCACTCGTTTTTAGATCCAACCCCGGGCCCCTTCGGTCTCTGCCTGTCTTGTATCATGTCGGCTACGCCGTCCACTCTCTCATCAGGAATGAACTCAATGGCAGCAGCTGATCTACGAGGATTTTCTCAAGAAACGGTTAGATGGAAATATCAACTATCACACAAGCGGCACGGATAAATAAGGTGAACAATGAGTCAAGGAAAAGAGGATAATCAATACATCAAAACTGGACCAAAAAATACACTCTTCTCTCAGTTTATTTAAAGTAATAGAGGTCACCATTGACTGAGGTCAACGCCAGAGGTCAACGACAGGAGTGTCACCGGATAGAGGCCAATGGATAGAGGCCACTGATAGGCCAATCACATTTTATTCGTCCTGCAGTGTTTGCTCCCTCTCTCTTTAAATAATTTTATTTTTCGGGTTAATTGTTGTCTTAGGTGTGGCCTCATCAGCTACAGCCTCGCATCCACCTCCGAATCAGCCAGTGGCATTTTACGAGTCAGTTTTTATCTACTCCAGCCTCATTGCTCATTACTTCAGCTTACATTTGGACATTACAAAGTTTTAGATTCTAGCTTTATCTAGTTTTCTTTCAACAAACTACAACTTGCTACAAGCTAGAGCTTTAAGGAAAAGCTAGAATCTAAAACTTTGTAATGTCCAAATGTAATCTACAACTTAAGTAAGTTGTAGCTTGTAGCTATAGCTTGTAGTAAGTTGTAGATTTTTGAAAGAAAGCTAGATATTCGATTGTAATAACAAAAGCCAATCGATCTTTAGCTAGATTGGCTGTTTGCCAATCTATCTGTTCAAGCTCATTTTTCTATAGGTTTGCATGTCGGTGATGGGTGCCATGTCGGGTCCAATGGTCGCCATTTTTGCATCGCCATCTTTTTCCCCAGATCGGGAGTGATCTCTTGTGTGATCTCGTTTATCGTCTCGAACATATGTAAGTCAATTGGCAGTCTTGCTTGTAATTGGCAGTCTTGCTTTCAATTGGCAGTCTTGCTTGCAATTGGCAGTCTTGCTTGCAATTGGCAGTCTTGCATTCAGCTAGCAAACTATCATGCTAAAGGTAAAGCCAAGCTAGCAAACTTGGGGATCTTACTACATCTTTTTTTAGATCAGTCTGTAATCTCAGGGTCAAGCTCTCATCAATTTCTTCACCGAGCTTAACCCTGAGAATATTTAGATCTCAATATTGCAGTTTGCTATAGAAACTCTAACATTAAAGAAATCAAACACTGTGACCTCCAGTAAAGCTGGTTAGTCACCGATTGGGGTCAAACTCTCAACGTTTAGCTTTTTAAACCAACACTGCCGATTTGAGCCATCCAAAACTGAGATCTAAAACTTAGAACTGCCAGCTTATCAGCAATCAAACATGTGACCTCCAGCTAGAATCTCAGTGATCTTCAGCTATAAAAACTTTTAACCTACAGCTACAAAAAGCTTACCTAAATCTAGACTAAATCTAGATCTTGTTCAACTAGACTAAAAATATCAAAAATCCTAGAAAGAGAAATCGATGAAATTAACGCGTGACCTCCAGTTAGAAAGCCAGAGATGTCAATCTAGCCAGAGAATAGCATAATACAGTAGGACTCAACCCTGTCACTTTCATAAGTTCAGTGATGGCCATCATTTGCATTGTCAACTATTACGAAGATCCCTACAAAAATCTTTTCCTCTCAACGAATACCAGGTAATTCAAATAGTTTAAATTCTTACAAAAAGTCGATTCAGTGTCATTGGATGTAGTGGTTTGGTGAAAAATCCGCATAATTTTACAATTCGCCAACAGCCTGACTACGATGCACACTATGGACAACCGGGAACTTTATGGATCAGTCGGTGGGTGTCATTTCGGTCGATCGGTCGGTCAGAAAGTCGTCGTAGTCACAGAGTCGGTCGGTTTAGCATCATTCAGCAGTCGTTTAAACAACCCACCACTATCTGGCAGTCATGTGCTCCAGGCTAGCTTCTATTGCAGTTCTAGCGGGTTCCATTGCAAAAGTTTAATGGCTCTTCGGCATTCTGGATGTCACAAGAAATAATTAGCCAGTAAACGAGCCACTTCTCGGCTTACTTTTTGTTTCGTTGAGATCGGCATAAAGGGATTCAATAGAATTAAGCTATCAAAGAACTAATTAACAAATAAAATTCGTTCATTGGGCAAACTGGGTGGCACAAAGAGAAATAGTCAATAAATAAACCTTTCCCAGCTTAGCATTTCAAATGCTCATTGTGAAATGACTGAAAGCTCTTCAAAAAATAAAGTAACTTTCATTTCAGACTCTCCACACATGGCTATCCCCTCATCGGTTTCATCTTGATGTTCGCAATCGCTATTCCAATGTCGACCATTTTGAAAGAGAAAGAGATGAAGAATACGAGACATCTCACATGGGCTGGAAGAAAGTGAGTTGCAAGGCTGAAACTAGCCATGCCAGTAGTGGATTCGAGTGATAAAACAGCGATCTGGAGGTCACAGAACTGATTCCTGATATGGTAGCCATTCTCTAGCAATTTAGAGATAGGAGTTGAATAGCTCAATCGAAAAGTGCTTGCTCAGAGCAGGGTTCGACTCCCTCAAGTGATCAATTACCGATCTGGAAGTCACAGGGTTGATTCATCCTCTAACAGCTATTCTCTAGCAATTTAGAGATATCAGTCTCAGATGGCTCAATCGAAAAGTGTTTGTTCAGAGGTCTAAGAGTCCAGGGTTCGACTCCCTCAAGTAATCAATCATCTATCTGTAAGTCACAGTTCTAAATTAACTTGTTACAATGAACATATGATGCAATTTACAGAGATCCAATCCCCGTGGCCGAACAAGAGCTCGATCATTTCCTTAAAGAAATCCCCAACAATTTCAACGAGAAATCGAATCATTAAACAGCTTTCATTTTTGTGTATATTTATGTATTTTATCTCAAATAAATAATTGATTTAAATATTATATTTAGCGAGATCCAAAAAACCAATAGTTAATGCTCAAACTCTCCATAAGCATTACGCGTTTTAGCTGGCTTGCTTGCCAGCTTGCTTGCTAGCTTGCAGGCTTAGGCTCAGGCTCTGTATAGCACAAGAGCCTTTTTTTCGGTAAGCGCATTCACTTCACCAATTACATGCTATTCAGCAAAGAGAAAACGAATGGCCAAAGATTGTTTACTATCTTTTCCCTGTTAACTTTATCAAATAATGACCAGAAAAACAATTCCCCATCGAAAATGTGCTCACAATCAGCTGTTGTTGCTGTTTGATTTTCGCTTTTGTGTTTAGAAAACTGGTTCCCTCGATTCTTTTTCCTCTTTTCAAACAAATAGATTACTTTTTTTCAAATGAACAGCCAAGATCAACAAACTTTTGCTCGTTTACCAGAGTTTTCCACGATTTTCAACATTATCAAAGGATTTGTTGTCAGCTGTTGTTGCTGTTTGTCGGGTCAACTTTTGACCCGACCCGACCCAATCCGACCTGATTTCCTATACCTACTATCCACTACACTATCGGGGTGCTGGCAAGGGAGAGCAAGGGAAGCCACTTAACCTGGCGCGCCGGTTTCCCGAGTAGATGCCGAAGCTTGCAATGCGTTTTTCTCGAAAACTAGAGCTTCTTAACAAAATCCGAAAGCACCATCGTGATCATCGTATTCGACTTGTGTTTGCACTGCATTTTGGTGCCGAAATGTCACGGTCACTTCTGATCATTCCCCTTGTTAGAAAATGGGGCAAAATAGGTGAGCACTCAATTTTCCTACCAATATTCTGCTAGGAGTTTTCTCTTTGTTGAGAGCTTTTTCCTACAGGTTTCTCACCTTTTCCCCACCGATAATCGATTGATTTTTCTTGCCTGATAACCACTCGCCTTCTTTGACTCATTGATGCACCTATTCCTTGCCAAGTACTCTGACTCCTTAGCTGCCCCCTTTTGTGACTGTCCGTTCTCCTAAGATTTTCTAAATTGTAGGACTGCCAAGAAATAATAATTTTTATGTTAGCCATGTTCTTTTCGTTTCCTTAAAATAAGATAAGATTTTATTGCTCTCAGCCGTTTTGAAAATCGCTTCAAAAGCTCTGAAAGCTTCAAAAGATGTTAAGCCGTACAAATTCAGATGAGCAAAGAGAACGACACGAATAATGTGAGGGTGTTTGAGTCGTTAAAGTGTTGGAACTGCAGGGAAACAGTAACTGGAGAGATGGGCGCTGACGGGAAAGTTCAGGTGTGTGGGGAGAGGAGGGCCAATCGCTAAATAGAGAAGTAGGGCTATTAACAATAAAGAGTTTTCACCAAGGGGAATCAAACCAGATCGATGCCGATCGAAAGCCCGGCACACTAACCCTTATCGGCCCTTGTGCAAGCTCTGAGTGAATCGATCTCAGCTCGTGGCGGTGAGACATTTAAATCAGACAATCCCGTCCACTGGATTGTCCACGTCTCTTTAAAGATTTACGTCAATATACTGACTCTGATTTAATACAGATAAGACAGGCACAATATTTTCTATATTTTCAAAGCCCTTCAGCCTATAAAGTCGCTCCAAGCTGGTCCGTTTTTTGCTTTATAATTGTTTACGGAAAAAATAGTAACTCATCAATACCCATTAGCTTAAATGGAAAATACACTTTATTTTTGAAACTGGTTAATTGCCAATATTTTTTTAAAAACGATAAACATTTCTAAATTCAGGGATTTCACCAAACGAGCTGCTCCACATTCATCTGTACTCCGTGCCATGCGCTGAGCTCGCGCGATCGGAAACGAATGCATTTGTGTATCGAAAAAGACTGCACCGTTGCTTCGCCGAATGTCAATGCGATCTGGTTGCGCATTTTATTCAGTGACACGGTGAGGCTGAGTCCTGACAAGAATGGGTACATTCTCGCAAAAGCGTTCACAACGCCAAAATGCCCGACTTGTGACGAGGGCTTCTCGGCCGCGATCCCAAAACGGCATCCAGTTGTTTTGACAAAGTGTGGACACACAATTTGCAGGGGATGCTTGGAGCGACTTCATCCCCAAAACCCTCAACAAGTGCTGTGCCCGGGTTGCAACACCGCTAGCAACAAGTGGGATTGTCGACGAGATCAAATCCTGTTTGAGCTTCTCAACGATGTGGAGGCTGATAAAGAGGTGAAATCAATTCGAGTGCACTCGTTCGACTCGTTCAAATGTTGGAGTTGTGCACAGCCGGCACTTGGCAATTGTAAATTGGGCGCAAACGGAGAACTTCAAGGGGTCTACCAAATGAAATGTGTGTCAGCGTTTCTCTGTGGTCGATGCGTTGCCAGTGATCCAAAGCGACGTCAACGAATGCATGTATGTGGTGAGACGGCTTGTGCCTCGGTCCCGCTAAGTCCCTACTCAATTTGGGTGAAGCTCGTCGTGGATGGATTCGTGAAAATGAGCTCTGATTGCAGCGGTTACGTAATCGAGAAGCCGTTTCCTCAAATTGAATGTCCGATTTGTGCAGTGACTTTCTCGGCATCTCCTTCAGCTCGAGAACCCATCGATCTCCCATGCGGACACACGGTGTGTCAGGGTTGCTCGGGAAAACTGCTCATCAACGAGACACAAGTTCGGTGTGGAAACTGCGTAACACCAACCAACAGGGATCAGAATCGAAAGAACAGGATCCTTATAGCTTTCCTCAACGAGCTCGATTCCGTTCTAAAAAATCCCCAACAGAAGGAGAAATGCGAGAAATGCGACGTAGAACATCGATCAAACAAAAGCGTCCACTGCGAGGAGTGCCAGATGACGCTGTGTGCCATGTGTTTTCTGATGGAACATAGAGAACACGAGTTCACACGATTAGATGGAATAGCCATCGCCTATCAGATCAACGCCTACTCGAAAGCGGTTCCCATTCTTCAGCAAGAAGTCGACACTTCGATTCAGCTCTTCGAGAATTTGGTCGTCGAAAAGAGAGAGGAATGGCCAGATTGTCAGGAGTTTGGGAATCGATTTGAGGAAATCTCCGAGGAATATATCCCTCACTTGCGCACTTATGGCACCAAATTGAAGGAACTCTGCGACGAAGCTGCGGGAAAGGACATCGAATCATAGAAAAAAATTACAAAATGATCTTTCTGATTTTTTTTTTGATACAATTCGTTTATGTTCTCACAATTTAAAAGACAAAACTATCTTCATTTGAAATATTTATCTAATTTTTATATTGCTTTAAGTTTCGTATAAAAAAAAGTGTTAGAATTTGCACAAAAGAAGTGAACAAGTGGTAAATAACCGAAACGACAACTAACTAAGCGAAAAATGTAAAGAAAAAAAGCTTTATGAAACAAAAAAATGGATGTATCCTGCTCGGAACCATGAATATTGACGAAGCTTGAAAAATACTGGAGCTTTAAACCGACTCACACACAACCGAAAGAACTTTAATGATATTGTCTCCCTTGCTGATCTTGAAATCCGGTTTGTTGGCTCGAATGTGATCGTGAATTTTTCCTATACGCCTTTAAATGGTTGAAAGAAGTAAACATCCAATGGTTCAACGAGTCCTGTACACCCAGCTCGTCTTGTCAATCATTATATTTAATTAAAGGCTTTCCTTTGGTTAGCGTGCCTGCGCTCGGAACTCTTTGATCTTGGTTCGGATTCGGTTCGGTCTAGCATTATACATTATACATTATATTACATTACATTATACAAATTTCTAATAATCAAAGCGGTTTTTTAATGTTTTTCAAAAAAAGCAAAAAGTTTTACTGCTAGCGGATCAAGATCAAAGAGTTCCGAGCGCAGGCACACTAACCAAAGGAAAGCCTTTTTGTACACAAGTGAACAAGTGGCAAATAACCGAAGCGACAAATAACTAAGCGAAAAACGTAAAGAAAAAAAAGCTTTATGAATCAAAAAAAACACAAGAATGAATTTTGTAAAGAGAAAAAAGATTTCTTTCTTTCTCTTTCTCTTAATTAGAGAAAGAAAGAAGAAAAAAAGAGATTTCTCTTAATTAGAAAGCAAATTAATTGCTTAAATTTCTTTAAAAAACATTAAAAAGAATCAATTTTCGTGAATCGTCAATGAATGAATGAATCAAAGAACCAACATGAACCTCTCATGATCTACAGAGGACTTTATTTTCTTTATATTCTTGGTTTAACCCGTCAATTTGTGGCATTTCCCCTTGCAGAAAAACTTTTTGTTGTTCTTGTACCGAGGAAACGTCGCTCTGTCAGCATCAACTATATGAACTGAAAAACTACGAGTTATCGAATGTCACTTCTCACTTCTTTTGACTTCTCATGATCCAGTCTCCAACATCAACCTCTCATGATCCAGTCTCCAACATCAACCTCTCATGATCCAGTCTCCAACATCAACCTCTCATGATCCAGTCTCCAACATCAACCTCTCATGATCCAGTCTCCAACATCAACCTCTCATGATCTACAGAGAACTTTATTTTCTTTATATTCTTGATTTAATCCGCTATTTTGTGGCATTTTCCCAGTTCAGCTTTTAGAATTTTAGAATTCTATCAAAAAGTGTTCGAATTTGACAAATGGCTATCAAATGCATAAAACAAATCGCTATCATGAAGCAAGTAAATAAATAAATGAGTAAACCGAAAATGGGAAATAATCGAACCAAGAATGCAAGGAAAAAAAAGCTACAAAAGATCAAAAGAAAAGCAAGAATGAATTTTGTAAAGAGAAAAAGATTTCTTTCTTTCTTTCTTTTTTTCTTTCTCTTCCTCTTAATTAGAGAAAGAAGAAAAAAAAAGATTTCTCTTAATTAGAAAGGAAATTAATTGCTTAAATTTCTTTAAAAAACATTAAAAAGAATCAATTTTCGAGGGTGAATTCCTTCAACTGGTCAATTCCTTGAGTGGATTTAATAGAGATATTCTCGATTTCGATAGCCACAATGAAAGTCGCTTTGTCGTCTTTAAGAAAATTCTGAAACTTTAAATATTTTAGCAGAATTTGATTGTTATCTAAGTCGCTGGGTTGGGGAGAATGAGTCGGCGCCGAACTTTAAAGGAACTTTTTGCACACATAAAGCCTTCTTTAAACATACGTTTGGTTTCATCAAAAGGATCCACTATTTCTCTACAAAATCACTTTTGAGAGATTCCACAAAGCTTTTCTTTCGTGGATTTTATGAACTTCGAAACGCAGCTGGTTAAAATGGCAAAGAGTCCGACGCATCATTTGAACAGTTTCTTTCACATAAACCTTCTTTGGTGTTTATATAAAAAAGATAGAGCACATTCAATTACTTAAGTTGCCAAATTTGCAGGAAGATCCCACCAATGGTTTTTTCTAGATCACAGTTTGTAGTTTTTGTGAAAAAATGGCTTTTTCTTGAGCGGAGGCGCTGTTTGAATTTTCTTTTAAATGTGATTTTGTAGAGAATTAGTTAACCATTCTACTCATATCAAACGCATATTATTTGACGAAGTCGAATTGAAGTTTTAGACATTTTTTTCATTTTCGGCGCCGACTCATTCTCCCCAACCCAATATAATCAGAACCAAGATTTGAATGTTATTGTTACCTTGAACCAAAACTTGAAACTTCTCTCCTTTTTAGTCTACTGATTTGAATGTTTTATGTAATCATTTCAGTTGATACCAGTGATTTCTATATACTTGTTGTCTGACAAGGCTGAGATAGGAGTCTCTAATGATCTGACAAGGCTGAGATAGGAGTCTCTAATGATCTGACAAGACTGAGATAGGAGTCTCTAAAGTTTGACAAGGCTGAGATAGCAGTCTCTAATGATCTGACAAGGCTGAGATAGGAGTCTCTAAAGTTTGACAAGGCTGAGATAACAGTCTCTAATGATCTGACAAGGCTGAGATAGGAGTCTCTAATGGTTTTACAAGACTGAGATAGCAATCTCTAATAGTTCACTCAGTAGAGTGTCCACGTTTTGCCCCTTCCCCCCTTTGGCTCGAGTTCGGTGCAATAACTTTTTCTTGTGCAGACAGAATTCAAAATTTTAGTTGTTTTTCTCTTAATTGGAACACACATAACAATTGCTAATAATATTTTGATCTATTAGCAAATATCTATTATCTATTAGATCTATTGATCTATTAGATCTATTGATCTATTAGATCTATTGATCTATTTTTGAACTCCTTGAGCTGCTCTCAAATGATCTAGTTGATGTTATTCTTTAATTCCAAAGCTTTTTCTATTTATTTTCTTACTTTACTTTATCAAACCTTGTCAACAAGGAAATCCTCCCCATTGAAAAACCTCGAAAAAAACGAGCTCTGAGTCTTCGGGAGTGAAATGATGTTCAGCAATTTTCACGAGATCTTCAACACCAACCTTTTCCGATTTCAACGTGAATATAATCTAAAAATTATTCAATTTTTGATAGATCTTAAGTGCATTTTAGAATTTTAGAAGTAGAAGTGGAGGTTTTTCGAGCTAAAAACAAAGAATTCTTCGTTTCTGTGATGAAAACTTTTATGACTTATGGTTTAGCTTGTTAGATTGAAAAAAGTTTCGTCATTGAGGTCATTGAGGGGAGTTTTTGGATAGCATATAGGGTTTTTACATATAAATATAATAGTAGGTATTTAGGGTAGCTTGCTTGCTAGCTTGCTTGCTTGCTTCCTACCCCCCTTCCTTCTTCTTCCTCTAGCTTGCTTGCTAGTGATTGCTAGCTTGCTTGCTTGCTTGCTTCCTAACTTGCTTGCTTCCTAGCTTGCTTGCTTCCTAGCTTGCTTGCTTCCTAGCTTGCTTGCTTGCTTGCTTGCTTGCTTGCTTGCTTGCTTGCTTGCTTGCTTGCTTGCTTGCTTGCTTGCTTGCTTGCTTGCTTGCTTGCTTGCTTGCTTGCAGGCTCAGACTCAGGCTCTGTATGGCACAAGAGCCTTTTCAACTATGAGCTTGCTAGCTTGCTAAACCAATTCTATGATTTGGACAATTTCGAGTACAAATTAAGTTGAATGACCTCCAGCTTTGCTAAAAATCATCTGGATTTTACTATTTGGCCCCTATTTGGCCTCTATTTGGCCCCTATTTGGCCTCTATTTGGCCTCTATTTGGCCTACTTTGGCCTTGCAACTCCAGGTGACTCCTTGTCGCGATGTACCACAGCCGACAAACAGCTGGAAATGGTGATCTGGATTGCTCAGGCAAAGTTCCCTGAAAAATAATATAAGAATTACGGTTCCTGGATAGTCTATGAGTGACCGACAAAATTTGAGCAGCGATTAACTTGTTCAATCGTCTAATTGTTTCCTTGCTAACGTTCTCGACCGTTTTTCAGTATTTTTAGCGTTTCTGTATAGCACAAAAGCCTTTTCAACTATTAATTAATACTATTAATTCAACTATTTTATTGTTTTATCATTGTTTTATTATTGTTTTATTATTGTTTTATTACTGTTTTATTACTGTTTTATTATTGTTTTATTACTGTTTTATCATTGTTTTATTATTGTTTTTATTTCCCACCAATCCAGCCCGCCCAATGGATAGACGGAGCGAAACGAGAAATTCGAGCGTCCAAAATATTGCGTCATCTCATGTCCGACAGCCTTGATGAAACCGAGGTGATCATCTAAAAAACGAATAAAATCATTTTAGAGACGAAATGTTTGATTATTTTGCTTTTAAAGTCAGAAAGAAATGGATTGAGTTGAGGATAGATCGGTTTGATTCTCACTGATCATCTAGCTGAGCATCTAGCCCATGACTATCATCTAGCTGAGCATCTAGCCCATGACTATCATCTAGCTGAGCATCTAGCCCATGACTATCATCTAGCTGAGCATCTAGCTAGTCGTGGGCTTTCAAATTCTGTTCCCTAGTGATTCTATGATAAATCTGGATGTGATCTTGGATCTCGATGGCTCAATCGATAGTGGTGATTTACAGATTTGTCAAGAGCCCGGCTTCAAATAATCTAGCTGAATAACATGGATAACAAATACCGTATTTTCTGTAATAGTATTGCGCACTACTATTTTTTCAATCCACCTCCTGCCTGCACTACTATTACAGACTGCACTACTATTACAGAAAATACGGTAACAGTTTTTATAAAAACTTATCATAAAAGTACATACAAAAGTACAGTTTCTACAAAAACAAAAACTGTCTTGTTCATTCACTGAACTTTGAAAGTTTATTTGGAGTGGCACTTTATGGTAAAATCGGGTATTTATTTTGAGTGATAGAATCGGGATTTCTTATAAATTGCCTAGTTCATTCACTGAACTTTCAAACTTTACCTAGAGTGATAAAATCGGGAACGATCAGCTCGCTGGTTGACATCACTTGTAGTCTAAAGTTATCGTTGAAATTATTATAGCAATAACAAATCCATTTCTAGTATAACAAATCCTTTGATAATGTTGAAAAACGTGGAAAACTCTGGTAAACGAGCAAAAGTTTGTTGATCTTGGCTGTTCATTTGAAAAAAGTAATCTATTTGTTTGAAAAGAGGAAAAGAATCGAGGGAACCAGTTTTCTAAACACAAAACCGAAAAACAAACAGCAACAACAGCTGATTGTGAGCACATTTTCGATGGGGAATTGTTTTTCTGGTCATTAAAGTCAACAGGGAAAAGATAGTCAACAATCTTTGGCCATCCGTTTTCTCTTTGCTGAATAGCACGTAATTGGTGAAGTGAATGGTCTTACCGGGAAAGAAATGCTTATGCTAGAACGCGTAATGCTTATGGAGAGTTTGAGCATTAACTATTGGTTTTTTGGATCTCGCTAATTATAATATTTAAATCAAGTATTTATTTGAGATAAAATACATAAATATGCTGTCTAATGATTCGATTTCTCGTTGAAATTGTTGGGGATTTCTTTCAGGAAATGATCGAGCTCTTGTTCGGCCACGGGGATTGGATCCCTGAAAATTGCATCATATGATCATTGTAACAAGTTAATTTAGAACTGTGACTTCCAGATCGGTTATTGATCACTTGAGGGAGTCGAACCCTCGACTCTTAGTCCTCTGAGCAAGCACTTTTCGATTGAGCGATCTGGGACTGATATCTCTAATTGCTAGAGAATAGCTATTAGAAGATGAATCAACCCTGTGACTTCCAGATCGGTTATTGGTCACTTGAGGGGGTCGAACCCTCGACTCTTAGACCTCTGAGTAAGCACTTTGAGAGGCTGGGTCATGAGAGGTTCATGTTGGAGACTGGATCATGAGAAGTCAAAAGAAGTGAGAAGTGACATTCGATAACTCGTAGTTTTTCAGTTCATATAGTTGATGCTGACAGAGCGACGTTTCCTCGGTACAAGAACAACAAAAAGTTTTTCTGCAAGGGGGGAATACCACAAATTGACGGGTTAAACCAAGAATATAAAGAAAGAAAGTTCTCTGTAGATCATGAGAGGTTCATGTTGGTTCTTTGATTCATTCATTGAGGATTCACGAAAATTGGAATCCAATGAGCCTTCAGCAGTGCTTTTTTTAGTCGGTGATGATGGTGAGATTTCTGTGTGTCCTTTGCTCGAAAGTCTCCACTTTGAGGAAGCTTTTGGGGTGAAAATTCGAAGAAATCATCTTCAGGTAACCTCGATTGGAAACGATTTGATTCGAGTCAATGCCAACTTTGTGCACAATTGAATAGCTTTTATTTGAATATAAGATAAATGTTGAATATAAGATAAATGAACTATAAAGGAACTATAATTTTATATTTTTTTAAACTTGAGTAAACATATTAAAAGATTCGCTTTTGAAATAACTATCAAAACCGTTTTCTTGTTAAAAACTATCAAAATGTGAACACGTTTCAATCAGCGCCGCTCATCTCTCTCTCTCATCGATGTGAAAGCAATTCGCTTTTACTCCGTATTGTGACAAGGGATGAGAATGGATTCTAACCGATTTTCGGTGAAAGTCAATGGGTGAGGGAAAGCCTGAACACGGCGCGATGCCAAATGTGCATGAGAAGAAGTTTATGCTCTCGATGCTCTGGGATTTGGCCAGAGCCAGGAAAAGCCAGGAAAAGCCACGACGTGATGCCAAATGTGCATGAGATTGCTCTCGATTTATGTTGAGATTCATGTTGATGCTTCATGTTGATGCTGAGATTTATGCTCTCGGTGCTCTGGGATTTGGAAGAGTCTACTAGACACTTTTGGATAGCAAGACAACACTCAACTCAACTTCACTCAACAAGTCAGCTAAATCTTTGTCCGAGAAAGAGCTCCAAGAGAAAAATCATTCTTCAACATGATAATGCACATGTTTCGAAGATGATTCGTTTTAAACTTGGATGAGAGGTGATCCTGATGAGAGGTGTCCATTTGGTAGCCCTGATCTTGCACCTTTTGATTGCTACTTATTCCGAGGGAGTAATGATCAGCGATCAGCGATTTAGCGATGAAAGACTTTGATTCCAAAGATGATGTCAAAAATGGCTGACAGATTGGTTTGCATTAAAGCCGAGTATTTTCTTTGAGAGAGGGAGACTTCTGTCAGTAAAATAGGCTCAATTCATTCAAAATAATGGAGAATATTTCGAATGATTGTCTATAAATCAGTTGTTTTTTTCATTTCATATCTATCAATAGATAGAAAATGTAATGTTAAAGAAAGCAGTCTTCTTCTTTATCGTGTTCACCAAATTGCTGACCATTTATGGCCATCGAAAATCGGCTTTTTCGTGATGTTAAAGACAAAGAAATAAAGAGTTTGATGTTTAAAAAAAAGGTCAGTATTTCTAAAGATTATGATTTTCAATTTTACAGATTTGTGTCGATGATTTCGATTTGAATCTCTAACTCGAAAAAGCCGATTTTTGATGGCCATAAATGGTCAGCAATTTGGTGAACACGATAAAGAAGAAGACTGCTTTTTTTTTGCCTAAAACTTTTACAACTTTTACAACGTGGACAGTTGTTAAAGGTCACAAATTACCCAAATTTATGGCCAAGATTATGCAGTGAGTTCGTTGATCTGTTTCATATTTAAACTCTAAAACTTTTGGTTGGCTAGTTTATTTATTCAAAGAGTCCGGATCTATGGTATGTTTTTGAAGATTTCTCGATTCTTGAGATTAGATTTAAATCCAAAGCTTCTAGCTACAGTTTACAGCTCATTCAGCCTCATATCAAGAGCTAGAGCAGTCGTACTTCAGCTGTACTGTCAGTCGTACTTCAGTTGTACTTTCAGCTGTACTTTCAGCTGTACATTCAGCTGTACTTTCAGTCGTACTTTCAGCTGTGCTTTCAGTCGTACTCAACGCTCCTAATCGCTGCACTTCTCGCTGTCTCTTACGGATTCACAAAGATTCCAAACAGCTACACGATTGCGCAGAGAACATCAGCTTGTCAAGTAAGAAATCTAGGGTATACTTGTGAACGAAATGTCTAGGATTATTGCAAGGGACAATCAATCTCGGTCACGACGGGCTTCGCTTTCCTTACAAGTGGATGGCAGTTGTGCACCTGTCCAATTGCTCAATTGTCTGGACAGTTCGTTTAAAGATCTTTCACTAATACCGTAATTTGAGATGGATTGGCACTGGTTGTTTCACAGAATGCCGGCAGAGATGTGTGAATACATGGGGTACTTGCGCGAGATCGGGCGGCTCGAACAACACTGGGTGAGTTCAACAGTCGATCAAATCATAGCTGTAATAGCTGTAATAGCTGTAATAGCTGTCACGTACTGTAATGTTTCAGTGTCTGTTGCTCGACGGCTAATATCAACACAACAATCGAAACTCAGTGTTATTCTGTCCCAAATGGAGCTTGTTACTTTAGCGGATCTGGATAAAGATCGAAAGCCAAGCAAGAAAAATAAAAGTTACAGTTGATAACGAAAATTAAGACTTGGGTAATTAAACCAAGCGTCTACTGGCAGTGTCAGAAGTCCGAAGGACACCAAAGAACACCAAAGAACACCAAAGAACACCAAAGAACACTCCAATACTCAAGAATGAGGCAATGGAGGCACTAGAAAGATTTGTTTACAAGTTTGAAGCTCAAAGTACAGGCAAAAACATTGTATATTTGATATTTTACAGTCCATTCTACAGTCCATCTCATTCAAATCGCAAAAAAATTGCTCTCATCAAAAAACAAACATTTTCCCAAATCGCAAGACTTTTGACGTGAATCCATTGTTAATCTTGATCGTAAAATGGCCAAGTTTGCTGAAAAAAACGTTTCTTTTCAAAGCTTTTTTTATTCAAAATGTGACTGAAAATGTAACTTTTAATGGCCAAAAAGTGATGGGAAAAGTTTTTTGCAACAAAGTTCATCGTCAAAGTTCAATCTGTCTGGTCAAAGGTTTCATTTTTTTTCCAATCAGTTAGCTATAAGCCAAAGCATGCGTTGGATCAAGGGCAACTATCTGGACCAAAGTTCTTGTGCTGATCCAAGATCCAGATCTTGGTCTGGAGGCTCTTGGCTTAGACCAGGACTGACTTTCGGCTCGTCTATGAATTTGTCTTGGATTTCTGACAACTATCTAGACCAAAGTTCTTGTGCTGATCGAGAGTCTGACTAAAAACCGAGCTCGATCTGAAGGCTCTTGGCTTAG